TAATGTGCACCCAAAATTATGAGGGCCTTGGATGTGCTAACCAAGTTGTGCCAAGAAATCTGGAGGACAACCACCTGGCCAATTGACTGGAAGAGATCTATTTTTGTTCCCATTCCAAAGAAAAGTGACTCAGCAGAATGTGGAAATCATTGAACAATATCACTGATATCACACGCAAGCAAGATTCTGCTGAATAACACACACATAAAAAAAATTGGAACAGAACATCATCAGAGAACTGCCTGAAGTGCAGGATGGGTTTAGAAGAGGCCAAGGTACTAGGGATATTACAACAAATCTTAGATGGATCTTGGCTGAAAGCAGAGAGTACCAGAGGAATGTCTATCTGTACTTCATTGACTATGCTATGCATTTGACTATGTGAATCACAACAAACTGTGGCTGACTCTGAGAAGAATGGGAATCCCTGAACAATTGATTATGCTTAGGTGAAAACCTTGACTAGGACCAGGAGGCAGTCGTCAGAAAAGAGCAAGGAAACACTACAGGGCTCAAAATTGGGAAGGGTGTATGCCAGGGATGTGTCCTATCTCCCTATCTTTTCAAACTGTATTCAGAACAGATTATCCTGGAGGCTGGGCTGGATGAGGAAGAATGTGGCTTCAGGATTGGTGGTAGACTCATCAGCATTCTTTGTTATGCAGATGACACAACCCTGTTTGCTGAAACTGAGAAGGACCTAAAGCGCTTGCTTGCTACAGAAGGTCAAGGACTGCAGCCTTCAATACAGATCAAAGCTCAACATTAAGAAAATAAAGATTGTCACCACTGGGCCTATTGGGAGCATCCTGGTAGATGATGAAGAGACTGAGATTGTTGAAGCTTTAGTTTGCTTAACTACACAATCAATACTCTTATTACCAGCAGTCAGGAGGAAAAAAAAAAGAAGATGATAAATTGCATTGGGAAAGTTTGCTGTCAGAGACCCCTCCAAAGTACTAAAGAGCAACAATGTCGATTTGGGACTAAGGTATGCCTAATACAGGATATGGTCTTTGCAATCACTTGTTATGCATCAGAAAGCTGTACAATGACTAGGGATGATACAAGAAGAATTGATGACTTTTAGCTATGGTGCTGAAGAAAAGTATTGAATATACCATGGACTGTTAAGAGAACAAATAAGTTTTTCCTATAGATGGTGAGACCAGGCTGCTCCTTAGAGGCAAGGATTCTGAAGCTTTGTCTGACATACTTTGGATATGTTACAAGGCAGGACCAGTCCTTGGAAAGGGACGTCATGCTTGGGAAAGTGGAGGGACAACGGAGCAGAGGAAAAGCCTCGATGAGAGGGATTGATTCTGTCACTGGGGAACCAGGGACAGGTGTATCAGAGACAATGAGATTGGCACAGGATAGAGCAGGATTTAGAGCTTTTGTACATAGGGTCACTATATGTCGCAGGCAACTAGATGGCACATAACAACAACATTGGTAAGTATATAGGTATAGGTCATGTAGAACCTATGCCTGGATCAGGAGGTTGTTAAAGGAGCAGGGCAGTACTGCATGGTTTGGAATTGGAAAGGGAGGGTGTCAGGGCTGTATTCTATCTCCATACCTGTTCAATCTATATGGTGAGCAAACTACCCAACAAGTTGAACTCTATAAAGAGGAATGTGGCATCAGGATTGGAGGGAAACTCATCAATAACCTGCATTATGCAGATGACATAACCTTACTTGCTCAAAGTGAGAAGGACTTGAAGCACTTGTTGCAGATCAAGAAAAGCAGCCTTCAGTATGAATTGTGTCTCAATATCAAGAAAACAAAGATTCTTACCACTGGACCAATAGACAGTGTCAAGATAGATGGAGAAGATAGTGAAAATGTCAACAGCTTCATCTTGGTTGGATCCACAATTAATGCCCTTGGTCCAAGCAGTCATGAAATAAGGCACAGGGAAAATCTACAGTTTGGAACCTTTCCAAATTACTAAGGAGTAGTGATGTCAGTTTGAGGACTAAGGTCCATCTGATTCAGGTCATAGTCTTTCTAATTACTAGGTATACATCCAAGACCTGGATAATGAATAAGGATGACAGAAAAAGAACTGACACCTTTGAGCTGTGGTGTTGGAGAAGAGCCCTGAACATTCCATGGACAGCAAAGAGAATGAACACAAGATACATTTTGGAGATGGTGCAACTGGAGTGCTCTTTGGAGGCAAGAATGATGAGGCTTCACCTTACATACTTTGGACTTGTTGCTAGGAGGTGCTACTCCTTGGAGAGGGACATGATGTTGGGAAGAGTGGAGGGTTGGCAAAGGAAAGGAAGACTCAGTCAGGTGGATTGACACTGTGACTGCTACAATAGGCTCTTGTGTGTCAGGAAGTAGGAGGATGGTGCAGGAAAGGACTGGGTTCAGATCTTTGTAGAGTGGCTTGATTTGTACAGGGACAGATTAGCTCATCTTTTATTTCACCAACTTTTTGGTTATTGACTAAGCACTAAACCACTGTAACCAAGAATCCTTATTAAAAACATTAAATATGCTAACCTTGTGAATCCAATTTAGAGAAAGATTTCCCCTATTTGTATATTATTGTGTTCCTCTTGCGTTGAACATGTATTATTTGTGTTTCCCTTCTGCTGAACACATAGAAGGTTTATCTGCAGGTTAGAAGAGGGCTGCAGTAGGTAAGCACAAGAGTGGGAACCACCCTGAAGTCCTGGACTATTTCAAGACATCTCCACCTTACTACTTCCACTTGCTGTATCCTGGACATTGGAAGGAAGGAGAAATCATATATTCCTTTGAAAGAGTTATTTCCCTTATCTGTCTCAGTAGAGTGTTCATTATCTCTCCACTCCTTTCCTAGTTTCTCCCCTCCCCCCAAGCAATCCTGCTTTAAACAGTGGTGTTATGCACTATTTGTCATTTTGTGACTCAGGTCTTTTAATCAGCACAATGTGTGATGCCCTTTAATACATCAGAAGATACTTATTTCTAGAAATATTTACTCTGTCTTCATTTCTTAACTTTTTTTTTACTATGATGCTCCATATCTACATTGTGCAAATGGAGATGTGGGATGTGAGGGAAATGTAGAATATAAATTATTTCATTGATCAATGAGCTTTCAGGTGAACTTTTTGACCTGATGAATTAATGATAATAGGCAAATTGGATAGAAATGACTTAGTAAAACCTTATGATTGCACCATTCAGTTAAAATTAAAAGGGAAGGAAAGGCTATGTTCGATAACAAGAGAAATACATGGTTAGGCTCAAAGAGTAGTATAAATGATTTGTACAAATTATATTAGTAATTAAATTGCTCTATATATGGTTTAAAAGAGTAAGTGAATAGTGAAGCAGAGCAGTCAAAGATCACTAATTACAGACCCCCCATTCCAAGACTGAGCTCAGCCAGTGAGTAAACTCACTCTTGGAGAGAAAGCTGGCATTCACTGAATGACCCATGAAGGACTAGCTGTCTTCATTAGGGAAATGAAGTCTTTTTGAGTCTAAGAACTCTAGGGAATTCATGATTTATCATTGTAGTAGTTTTTCCGGCATTCCCAGACACAGCACTGAGATTTCCTGGGGAAGGTCATTAACTCAGGACTGACATTCAGCGGCTGTGTCCTACCAGAAATAAATACTTGCCAGTTAGCTATTTAGCCACAGCATTAAACCCCTGCTTTAGGACAGCTGTTCAGACCCCGAAAACTACTGGATGGGTAGAACTAAAGTCTTCCCGTGAGATCCACTGGCCTACTGATCAGCCATCCAACCCGGCCTGACTTTGGAAATGTCTGGTCCCTATCTTGTCCCTTGAGAACTTGACTAAACCTCAAAGGAGCAACATCCCTACTGAGTGGCAACTATGGAAACCATAGTTTTGAAATGTGATTGATTTTATGTTGCTCCATGCTGTGAAGTCAGATCTGACCTGTAACTGACCGTCAAGAAGGTTTTCAGAGGCAGTAAATGACACAGAAGGAGACTGGCCATCTTTCTCTTATGGAAACAGCTGATGGATTCAAACCACATGAGTTCGGGTTGGTGGAGCAACTCCTTACCATTAGGCCACCAGAACTCTCTGAAATGTATACTACCAGTTGGTAACTTTCTTTACCATCCCCCTAACTGTTCTATCTCCACAGTGGATTTTGGAGGAGTGGCTGAAGATCTCCCTTGGACTCAGAGAGTGGGGGGAGTGGGGTGGGGGGAACCAGGCTAAGAAGCCATCTAGACCAAGGCTTCAGGCTCAGCTTTCAGTCAATTAATTAAATCCTGTATTTGGAACAACAGGGCAACAAAGGGCCATTTTCCCAGATTTTACTTTATTTGCAAACTTAAATAATTTGGGATAGAGGTGATTTTCTTTTTTTTTTTTAATAATCACTACAGCTTTATCTGAATAGTGTAAACCGAAAGAAGGAAGAAATTTAGCATAAGAGGCACATAGGAGGCACCCAGGCTTACACAGCACAACCTCTAATAACTTCCAGTGCCAATTTTGTACAACTACAAGGCTTGTTACTTCATTTAGTGGACCAAATTTAATTTAAGAATCAACTGTCACAGCTTGCTCAACTCTCAATAATGAGAGGCAATTTACTCAAGGGCCTTGTTATCCAAAACCTTTAAACACACACACTATCAACAGAGTAGGAGTACTCTATTCTTTTGAAAGTTAAAAACTGCACTTAATATACTTTCTTGAAGCAAAATGGTGTTGCTTTACAGTTTTACCATTAAATTTAATTAATTAAAATAGAGTTAATTTCTAATTCTGTGTTAAACTCTTCTTGTGACTTCATTTTATTTGTGCTTTAGAGACAATTACAAATACTCTTTTTAAAAAATATTGTAAAATACTAAATAATTAGGTATACTTGTTGACTATATTAATAATGGAGGGTGCTAAGATAGAGTATTATATCCTTTTATCCAAGAATTACTAACCCCAAAAGCAAACCCAAATACTTTAAAAAATGGAATACGATAAGGAAGCAACATGATACCTGCTGTAAATCCAGTGTAATTGTCACATAATGGTACTCAATTCCATTCTTAATACTGGGACTTTGCCACCAAGTGTTCTTTCCATCAATAGCATTTGTAATCGGGTGTCTCTCTGTGAAATCAAGTGAAAAGAGGAGAAAAGATTATAGTACCATATTTTACAGCTATTTTCCTTTTTAGAAGAGTAAGTAAATATTGATTAAAATCATGTACATATCAAAATTAAAATGACACCAAAAGATAGTAATCCCAATTATCCACAGAAAAATCTGGTAAATGACAACTCTCTCTTATTTTTTTTTCTATATACAAAAAAATAATAAAATAGTTAAATACTTGGGCTGTAAGAGGAGCTGCATGACATTTTGGCCATTAACTGAGATTGGCAACTTTAAAGAAAACCAAGAAAATTAAGTGTGGAAAAAATAATACCAAAATCTAATTTATATGTCACTCATTCAAAAGAGCACAAACTCCAATATCTGAGATAGCTTTGAATGCCACAACTTTGTAAACAGAAATACTGAATCCATAGATTGTGGTAGAAAGATACTTGAAGATTTACCTGTCTGACACATCCATTATTACTAAGACCTAGGCAATTCAAGGTATTCCTACTTTTAATATAAAATGTTGTCAAATCCATCTTTTGGTATCCAGTTTTTAACTTGCAGCCATTATCTCATTATTTTTTAAAAATTAAAGACACCTGAAATATTTAATCCAGCATGTTCTTATTCTCCACTCAGTAAAGTTTGGACATGAATGACACTGAGGGCTGATGATGTCACATACAACTGCCAATCAAACACATCTCCCCTCATGTTTATTTCAGATAGATCAGAATAGAATCTTTGTAGTGATAATCAAAATCAAGACTGGTGACACAGTTAAATAAGAGATATGGACAATCAATGCTATGTTACATTCCTCTCTTATTCATACAAACTCGCTATCTTCTTACAATTCTCAGATCTCATGTATTACTGTGCTCCAATGTCACATAATGATAATAGTAATTACCTCTTTGCTGCTAAAGCTTTCATCCCATTCTAGTTCCAAATATCTAGTTATGTCCTAAATCTTTGCTTCTGTTTCTCAGGAATACAAGATTTAACTTTTTTGTCCCTTATCTAAACAAGTGTGGTTGAGGATAGAAAAGGAGTTTGTTGAAGTCCCCATCTCTGTTTTGGGGACTGCAATAAGGATTGTTAAGTTTCTTACTTTCCACTTGTCCATAAAACTAAATTCAATGTCATCAGCTCAATTTTGGTTGATAGTGACACCATGTTGTTCTTATTGTTATGTACCATCTAATTAACTATGAGTCACAGTGAACCTATGAAAAATAGATCTGAACCCTGCCCTATCATGAGTCAATCTCACTGTCTCTGACATGCAAAGCCCCATGGCCACAGTCCCTATTGCTACAGACATTGTGTCAATCCATCTCATTTTGGGCCTTCCTCTCCTGGGTTGACCCTCCACCTTTCCTGCCAAGAATGTTGATTTTCAAGCTGAGCATGACAAAATTGTTGATAACCTCAGCCTTTGCTCCATCTATCATGACACTACCAATTGGTATGATGGTAAAGATGGGGTTTTTAAAATTTTTTTTATTTTGGTTTTTTTGTTTGTTTGGTTGGATGGTTGGTTTTTATGTTGAAATGCAATCCACATTGAAGGCTGCAGTTCTTGACCTTCCTACAGCAAACACTTCAAGTCCTCCTCTGTTTTATGACCAAGGTTGTGTCATCTGCATTGCACAGTTTGTTGATGTCTTCCTTCAATCCTGATGTCACATTCTTCTTTATAACATCCAGCTTCTCAAATTATCTGTTCAGCATATAGATTGAAAAGGTATGGTGAAAGAACACATTCCTGATGTACCTCTTTCTTGATTTTGAACCATGCGATGTTCCTTTGCTCTGTTCAAATTATAACTTCCTAGTCTAGGTATCATTTCCTATGAACATAATCAAGTTTTCTGGAATTCTCATTCTCAATGTTAACCACAATTTTTGGCGATCTACAGTCAAATGTTTTTACGTAGTTGATACAACAAATAGACATCCTAACAGTGTTTTCATGTCCATATGACATTGGTACTGATATCCATAGTACTACAGTATTTCCTGAAGCAAGCTTATATTTCTGGCACTTCTCTGTCAAAGTATTTCTCTGGTCCTTGCATGTGATATTAGTGACATTGTTTGATAATTTGAAAACTCTGTCAGAGCAGCTTTTTTGGGAATGGGAATAAATATGGATCTCTTCCAGGCAATTGGCCAGATAGGTGTTTTTCAGATTTCTTAGCACAAGCTAATGCGTACATCCTGTGCAGGATCTGTTTGTTAAAATACATCATTTGGTTTTCCATCAAATCTTGGGGCCTTGTTTTTTTGCCAATTCCATCAGATAAGCTTGAACTTCCTCTTTCATCACCATTGTTCCTTGATCATATACTATTTCATGAAAATCTTCTGTGTCAGTCAATTCTTTTTGGTACAGTGACTCTGTGTACTCCTTCTATCTTCTTTGGATGCTTCCAAACTTATTTCATATTCTGTCTTTAGCGTCTCTAAGTATTGCAACTCAAGGCTTGAATTTGTGTTGTGTGTTTTGTTTGTTTATTTGTTTGTTTTTAGTTCTTTCAGCTTAAGAAATACCAAATGAGTCCATCCTCTTTGATTTTTTGACTCCAGCTCTTCTCAAATTTCATTATAATACTTTGTTTTCTCTTCCTAAGCTGCTCTTTGAAATCTTCTGTTCAGCTAAATATAACACTGAAGGCTCAGACCTCTCGTTGAGAAGCACAAAATAAAGGGCCCCATACAAATAGGCACTAATAATTGAAATGTGGAATGTAAGAAGTATGAATGTAGGAAAACTAGACATTGTGAAAGAAGAAATGGAACACATAAATATTGACAAATTAGACTAGAAACTAAGATGTGCCTGATCCAGGGCATGGTCTTCGCAATTACTCATAACATATTACAGAGTTGGACAATGTTTAAGGATGACAGAAAAAGAACTGATGCCTTTGTGTTGTGGTGCTGGAGAAGATTCTTGAACACACTTCCAAAAATACAAATTGATGTGAATTGGAGAGGGTGAAACCAAGTTTCTCCTTGGAGGCTAGGATTTTAAAGCTCCATTTCACATATGTTGGGCATGTGGCCAGAAGGGACCAGTCCGTGGAGAAGGACGTCATGCTTGGAAGGGTGGAGGGCCAGTGCAGGAGAGGAGGATGCCAGGTGAGATGGATTGATACAGTAACTAGGACAATAGGGGTTGGTGTGTCAGAGTCAGTGAGACTGTTTCAGGACGGAACAGGCTTCAGAGCTGTTGTACTTGTGACCACAATGAGTCACAGGCAACATGATGGCACATAACAACAACAAGCATTGCTAAGGTAAGATTGATTATCATGGGCCATTTTGAATCAAACAATTATATGATCTCCGACACCAGAAATGAAAAAGTGAGGAAAAGTTGTGTCACATTCATAGTCAAAAATACCACTTCTAGATACATCCTGAAACACAATGTTGTGAGTGACACGGTAATATTCAAACACATACGAGGAAGACTTGTTAGTATACACCAACAAGTGGAGCCAAAGAGGAGGGAAAAAAGACATTTTATCAAATTTTGCAGTTAGAAATTAACCAAACATGCAACCAAGATTAATTAAAACTAATTGTTGCCTGAAACTCAAAAGTTGAGAGCAAAAAAGATCAGTAGTTAGAAAATATGGACTTGGTGACAGAAAGGAGTCTGGGATGGAATGACAGAATTTTGTGCTAACCGTGATTTAGTCAAGCAGTGACTATGCACATGGTTCTCACCTGATAGACCATATTACCTCTAAGCAAGGAACCATTGAAGGAGCTCATTATCAGCTGTGTAAACGAGGCCCCATGTTGACTGTGGAACACATCAGCAACGTGTTGTTATATGCCATCGAGTCACCTGCAACTCACAGCAACCCTGTGAACAACAGCTCTCAACCCTGCTCTATCCTGTGTCAATTCCATTGTCTCTGACACACCTACCCTTATTATCCAGCCATTGAGTCAATCCATGTCACCCAGGTCATTCTCTCTTTTTAATTTTTTATTTTAATATAAAATTTTTATTTTATACTGGTTTACTTACATAGTTCTTATACATTGTTTTTCACACTGAATCTTTCCCCTTTCCTTTACCCACCCAGCCCTCCTCCCATCAAATTTTGCGATCCTTATCGAAGATCTTGCTCTCTTTCCCTGACACTTCATCTTTTCCTGTGTGATTTCTTTTTCCAAGGACTGGTCCCTCCTGGCAATATGACCAAAGTTTGTGAGATGAATTTTTACGATTCTTGCCTTTAAGGAGAACCCTGATTGCCCTTCCTCAACAGCAGACTGGTTTGTTAATTTTGCAGTCCATGGATTGTTCAATACTTTTTTACAATTGAAAGTCAAAGGCATCAAGTCTTCCTCTATCATTCTTATTAATTGCCCAACTTTCAGACACATAGGAAATAATGAAACAGCATGGATCAGGCACACCTTGGTCTTTATCCCAAAATCTCTATAGATGTTCATTGAAATGAAAAATAAACAACCTAAATTAAAAAAAAAATCAAAAGAAGTGTTGCACTGGCAAAATATACTATCAAGGACCTCTGAAAAGTGCTAAAGAGCAGGTCGTTCTCTCTTGTGCTATCCCTCCGCTCTTCCAAATAAGTCCATCTCCAAAGACTGGCCCCTCTCGGCAACATGGCCAAACAAAATACGTGAGACAGAGCTTCAAAATCCTTGTCTACAAGGGCAAAGCTAATTTCACCCTCTGCACAAGTTAAAACGAAACTAATAAAAATTAAATCCACAAGAACCAAAATATGACCTTGAGTCTGTCTCACCTGAATTTAAAAAAAAACATTTTAAGAATAGATTTGAGGCCTTGAGCACTAATTAATGAAGAACAAATGAACCGTGGGGTCATACCAAAATATCCATGAAGAATACAAAAGATACAAAAGTAACACTACAGAAGGGCATAAAACTGTCCTGTGGATTTCCCAGAATGTAAATCCTTAGGAAGCTACTGCTACATGTTTAT